TCGGCCCTGAAGTCCAAGGAGGTTTCAGGACTAGTCCTCAGTCAACTATTTAACAAAGAATTAAACAAAGACCCACAGTTGATGGGTCACCTTGAGATATAGAACTGTAACTTGAATTAGGAAACAACTCAAATTAGGGAAGTATCCTACAGCAACTTGCAGTAGTTAGGTAGTATGGTACACTAGACTTAAAGTCAGGAGAGACCTGAGTTTGAACTCCACCTATGACACTAGCTGAGTAACTACTAGTTCTTTAATCTCTTTAAGCCTCAGTTTCTTCATCTGCTATTTAAGGACAGTATCACCTATAATTCATAGGATTGCTGTTAGGATCACATAGTTATTTAAATCATTTTGTGAACTCAATATGTTCAAGACTGAACTCTTCACCTCTTCTCTCACCCCCATCCCCCAACCCTTCCTTCTTCCTAACTTTCCTATTACTATCAAAGACAAGGTCATCCTCCCAGTCTTTCAGGCTCACAATCCAGGTGTCATCCTCCACTTCTTACTCTCGCTCACTCCCCATGTCTAATCAGTGGGCAAGTCCTATCATTTCTACCCAAATCACCTCTCCTCTGCCAGTGCCACCATTCTGGTTCAGGCCCTTTGCCTCATTCCAGTCCTTTTGCAATAGCCTGCTAGTTGAGGTTCTTGCCTCAAGTTGCTTCCCCATTACAATCCTTTCACTCAGCTATCAAATTAATCTTCCTAAAACACTGATCATAAACCTCCCCCTTTCCCTCAATCAACTCTAGTGGTTCCCTATTACCTCCAAGATCAAATATAAAATCCTCTGTTTCCCTTTTAAAGTCCAACACAACTTGGTTCCCTCCTACCTTTCCAGTCTTCTTAGATTTTATTCCCCTTCCCCCTACATCCAGCTCCTTGAAAGCAGAGATTGGTTTTGCCTTCCTTTGTATCCCCAGAGTTTAGAACAGAACCTGACACATAGTAGTTGCTTAATAAATGCTAGTTAACACAGCATTTTTTATTATGATGATAATCAAGAGAAATATAAATAATGTTACTACAAAACTAGTTGATTCCACAGAAAACATCTCTCTTTAAACTGAAATCATAACTGGGTGAAATACAGGGTCCTTTACTTTCAAGTATGTTTAAAAGTAGGAATACTAATTGGCCCTTCTCATAAAGATGATTCTCCTACATTCAAATCATTAGGACACAAATTTTTGTTCCAAATGTTTCTGCCCTAGGCTTCTTGAAGATTCAAAGTATATACTTTCGGACTAGAGGTATAGATGTAATCTGTAGTCATGAAAGGGACCCTTTTTGTGATGTTGATCTTATTCAGTGAACAAACCCTCTACTTTGATTTCATGTGGAAATAATTTGCCTTTTGGCTCTTAAACTAACTTGCTATGTGACCACAGGCAATTTACTTCATCTTTCTAGGTATCAATTCTTTCATCTGTAAAGTGAGGAGGCTGGAATAATGATTCTAGTTCCTTTTGAACTCTAATTCTAGTCATCCTGGTGTGGTATGACAGAAAGAATACTGGTCTAGGTGTCAGGAAACATGGATACTGGTCTTGGCTTTTTTTTTTACTAGGTCATTTCATCTCCCTGGCCTTTAATATCCTCATTTATAAAAAGGAGATTGAAATGGGCGACACTTATTTCAATAGTGCATAGTGGCCTAGAAAAAGCATTGGCTATGGAGTCAAGATTCTGATTGCAGGCTCGGCCACTTATTTGTTGTATGACTCTGGACAAGTCATCTCACCTCTCCGAAATTCAATTTCCTCAACCAAAAAATTGGGTGTTACTTATACTGCTTAACTCATAGGATTATTCTGAGAAAATCAATCTGTAAACCTTAAAATACTGTAAAATGTCAGCTATTATGATAAGCACCATGAATTTACAAAACGAACTATCCCAGATAGTTGTGGAAAGTAGAGGGCTGCCCAAACCTGAACACCTGTCAGAGACTAAAATCATACAACAAAGAATGTATAAAGTGCATATAGTAGATGAATTCTTAAGCCTAGATCCAGAGGTTTGATGGAAAGCTCTAGAGAGTAGAGAAATTGTCTTTCCTAATTCAGTTTTATAGTCATGTGAGTTTGTCTGTTAGAATGGTATATTCATTTAAAATGTTGAGTTCTAAGGAGGCAAGTAATTCATTTTGTGACTGAATAAACTACTTAAGTGCCTCAATTTCCCCTCTTATAAAATAAAGGTTTGGACTAGAGATAATCTCTAAAGTCCCTTTTAGCTCTAAAATTCTAGGATCTTCTCTGATATTTATTTGCTATGTAAATTACTTTACCTTTCAGTTTATTTTCTTTATCTCAGCTTAATTCAGCAAAAATTATTAAGTGTTGTGTTAGTCCAAGGAAATACAAAGACTTTTAATAGAAGCCTGGGTCCTTAAGGGGCTTACTTGCTATTGGAGCAGATACTATTCTATGCAGATAAACAAATACAAAGTGTCTACAGTGTAGCACAAAGTAACTCAAATTGATCTCTATTGCTTTGTGACCTGGTTAATGGCCTCAAGTTTCTATGTGAATAAAAGGAGGGAACTGGACTAAACGATTTCTGTGGTTCCTCCCACAGCTAATATTTCCCTGAGTATAAAATAGGAGTAGTAACAACAATCTCACCTTTAATCTAGTATTCTTCAAAAAGATGCAGAGAAGCAATAATTTAATACAAACTACCTTTTAACTTCCTTGAGGGAATAAAAATCTCATGATAAATTTAAAGACTTCAAATTCTCTTCCTACTGAATATACTTGAAATAACTGACCATTCTTCAGGGGCTTAGAAATATGTTAAATTATTAAGTTTCACTGTAATTGTTATTGCTTAATATGACATTCAACCTGTATTCAGTAAAAAGGCACAGCATTGGCTATTCCATATTGGCAGCTTTATCTTCAGTAACTTCAGAACAGTTTCAAAAGGACACATATGGAAGTGATTAACAGCAACTGATACAAGCTGCCACTCAGCAAATGTGTGGTGTATTTCCGTTCTTCTTAAAGGTGTAACCCTGGAGAACAGCTTTCAACAAGTTGTTCCAGTCCATAGTGGTTAAAAACTAGTCTGTAACTTAGGTGAAGTCCACTTGTACAAGAAGTCCAAACTGTACAGTAAAAAATCCCAAGCCTTTCCAGAAATGCTGCATAAGCAGCACTGAACTATTTGACAGAATTCATTCTCCAATTTACTAGACCATGATGTTGCAGACCGATCCAAGAATTTAATTGTGTTCTCCGTGTTCTCCCTGGAAGGATTTCCATTGAGGAAACTCCTCGTTTGAAAACCGCAGAAATAAAACTCTGGGGTTAGTGGCAGTCATTAAGACAGTAGAACTTGCTTTTCCACTTGGTTGCACTGTTTATTTACATACAGTATGTTTCTATGTTGGAAAGTCTTAAGTGAAAGAACCTCAGGACTATTTCTACATTGGCCATACAAGATGTATCACTGACTAAAATGCCATAGTGCAGTGCTTTCTACCCCAAAGTGGTTTACCTCTAAAGATTTTACCATAAACTCTGAGGCTACAGAAGAATAACTCTACTACTGGGGAGAGGGAGGGAAAACCATACACTTTCTGTAACACCTTTCCCACTCTCAATGTAGAAGCTGACTCAGCTATAAATTGCTAGCTTTAAACTTTGCAAACATAGGAATGTCAGGTGGAGGACCTAACGTGCCAAGTAGTTGCTTCCAAGGCTGGTTTCTCACCAAAGTGTACTTCCAATGTTGCTAGTCACCTATGTCATTTTTTATTTCTTCTTTGTTGAACATAAGGAAATAACCCATTTCCTTTAAAAAGCCATCCTCCTTTGCAAAACAGCTGTGACACTTGCCGGCTACAGGAGCGGTTTGCTTCGGGTGCAGGGAAGAAACAGTTTAAGATGGGAGGGGAAACCTGCAGTCACAGAGAGCTACAACTTTGACAATCAAAACATAATGATTTGGAGTCTACTGCGAAAGCTCTGCCCGTCGAAAAAAGTCAAGCATCACAAAGTAATTGGCCTTGTGGCAGTAACTTTACTTTCTTGGGACAGCATGGGTCTGCGCCCTAGCTGTGTGCAGCGCGGAGCCACGGTGAGGTGCCTCTGACATTCAGATTCTGATGACGTTCAGAGAACTTCATGCAGGACTCTCAAAGGCAGGGCTAAATACCAGCCGTCAGCAACTCCCACAGAGGCTTAAGCCCCTTACTTGGGGGGCACTTCAAGCAAGGCCTCTATTTTAAAACAAAATTTTAAAAAAATTCACAAAAATTAGACGAGAGGTATGATAGATAGGCTAACATCCTCTCTGCCCTCCACCAGGGAGAGGGCTTGATCTCTCTAAATTGTGAAGAAAGAAAATATTTTCATCATAAGCTCTCCAAAATGTTGAGATGCTTTCCTCGGTGCGCCCTATTCACCCGCCCCCCGCCCCGCAATAAAATAAATACACAATCAAACTTTGAAACGCGTAAATAATAAAGCAAACTCACCAAGTTAGGAGAGAAGAGAATAAACCCCAAAAGGTTCTCAATAAGGCGGAGGCTTGTCCTCCCCCTCTTTATAAGCAGCTCAGAGACATAAAAAGGGTTAACCCTTTGGGGCCCTAGAGACCCCGTCCGGTCTGGAAAGAACCCAGAGAGTCCCCGCTACCCTCCCCTCCCCCCCCCCCCCCCGGGCCTCGCGCCCGCCCATTTCCTTCGCCTCCCCCCCGCCCACTGGGGCCCCCCCCCCCCCCCCGACCACACCCTACCCCCTCCCACCCCTACGATGCCCCCTTCTCCCCTTCTCGTCTGTCTGTCAGTCCTCCTGACTCTCTCCCTCCGGTCTAAGCCTATCTCTTATCCGATACCGGCTGCAGCCGGTCTCTGCCGGCCTCGGGGGCGCGCCTCCGCCGACCATGTGCTGCAAGAGGCAGTGCGCGGGGTGCGGAGGGGGAGGTGGAACCGGCGCGCGCGCGCCCGGCCCACTTGGAGCCGGAGCGCGCCGGAACAGGGGCGCACCCGCCCCCTCCCAGTCAATCCTGCCACTCTAGTTGCAGCCCCCCTCCCTTCGGCGGCTCCCGTGTTCCACGTCTCCGCCTGGGGTCGTGTAAGGTAACTGCGTCGCTGTCCTCATCCAGCTGTGCCGCGGCGACAGCGGCAACAGCCCCAGTCCCTGTTTAGAGGGGCGGGAAGGGGGCGCTTCGCTCGGTCTCTCCCGCAGGGTGTACTGCGTATTCCTATTCCGCACCCCCAGCATATTCCCACCAACCCCAACTCCCATTTTTAGGCGGTGCGACAAGGCGTCTACCCCAACCTCGCAGGAGCCCTTTCCTTCCATGCCCTAGGAAGCCCGGGGATAAATTACACCTTTGCTCATCCCCAGCCAAAGCACGGGTAGAAAGGTATTAGTAGGGGGGTAGCGGACTGCGAATGGAGACGGGCTTCCACCTTCCTATTATGAACCTGTGACCACCGCCCCTCTTCTCCCCAGCTAAAAGACGCGCGGAAGACCTTGCACCAGTCTTGGTGGCTAGCTCTTAGATCCTCCCGCCCCAGTCATCTTCCCTCTCCTGCAGCTGCTTGTGGAACTGAAACACTCCTGTGGCAGCAGGAATTGGGGGTGGAATGAGGCTTGGTGCGCGTGGGACCAGAGCCCGTCGCTGCGCTCCGCTCCCGGTAGTAGTGGCTGTGGCTGTGGCAGCAGCTGCGGCAACTTGGAGCCGCCCTTTGAAAACAGGTTCCTTGTAGTTTGGGTGTGAGACGCTTGCGGCTTCTTTAAAAACCCAGTTTCCTTTGGTCTCCCATCCCCTTCCTTTCCCCAGTTTCATCAACTTATACATCTACTCTTGGCCCCTTACCCCACCCTGGGTTCAAGGAGCAGGGTCCCAGCTTGCCCAAAGGGAGCGCAAACAGTTCCTTCTTTGCCTCCGGAGCTGCCCTGCTGCAGCCACCGTTACGTTGGAAGGGATGGGAGAAGCCGGATGCGCAAAGGCTGAGTCAGCACAGCTCTGTTCCTATGAACGGAGTGCTAACTCCTCCCAGCTGGGAGATGGGTGGCTTACCCTTGGCTAGAAAGTTTCCAGGGAAGGACGAATGTCCTGACTAAAGGGCTCTATCCCTAACCATTTACTGTGATTTTGAGCCACTCTTTCCCTCCCAATACCCTCCCCACCTCACAGTAGCCCTCAGGTACGGAGTATGGTGAAGGAACATGTTTTCCAGAAGCAAAGTGTGTATGAACCTTTTCTATATATCGATAACATGTGTTTATATAAATGACACATAATGCATAATATATGCAATACAAAATATAACATATGCAATATTTTTTTTTTTGGTTAATGTGGCAGGAGGTCTCAGTGGAGTACCCCAAGGATCTGTAGTTGGCCCTGTGTGATTTAACATTTTTACCAATGGCTTTGATAAAGGTATGCTTATCAAATTTTCCAGTGACACAAAACAACTTTGTGACGGATAACTAACACACTTGATGGCAGTCAAGAACCAATGAGCACTGGACTGAATTTAGTAAAATGACATTCAGTATGGATTAATTTGGGTCACATTTGGGTACAAAAAATCATCTTCACAAGTACAAAGATGGGAGAAGCATAGTTAGGCTTCAGTTGGTCTGGAAAAGATGGAGGGGGGAATCCTAGTGAATTGCAACCTCAATATGAATTATCTATGATATATTAGCCAAAAAAAGCAAATAACATTCTAAAAGGTATTTGGTAAGAGGTAGAGCTTGCATGAATAAGAAGGTTATGAACTCCTCTGTGCTCCAGACTGTTAGATCTCTTCTGGAACGTTGTATTCAGACCTAGGTGCCATAGAGTAAGGACAATGGTGAAATGGAGCTCTCTGGAGAAGGACAACCAGGCTGGTTAAGGGCCTTGGTTCCATTTCATGTGAGGATTGAATGAAAGAACTGGGTGTTTTTAGCCTGGAGAAGAGAAGACTGAGGAAATAGAGTGGGACTGCAGGACTTCATCATACCTCTTCCTGGTACCCTCATGTTCCCTTCCCTCCCACTCCTACTTCCCATCTTTTCAGTTTCTTTTTTTAGACTGTGAGCTCTTAGAAGACAAAAGGGACTGCCTCTTGACTTTCTGTGTATTCCCAGCACTTAGCACAGTGCCTGGAACATAGTACATGCTTTAGAAATATTTTTTGATTGACTGGATAGCTACCTTCAAATATTTGAAGGGCTATCATTTGGAAGAGGTATTCTACTTGTTCTGTTTGACCCCAGAGGGCAGAGCCAAGAGCAATGGTTAGAAATTGCAAAAAGACAAATTTAGCCTTGAAATCAGGATAGATGATAGAGCATATATTAAGGACTTTACCTGCTGGGCACTGTGCTAAAGGTGCTGGGGATATAAAGATAAGAAAACAAGAAAGTCCATATTCTGAAAGAGCTTACATTTTAATAAGGGAAGACAAAACATAAAAGGAACTGGCAGGTGGGGTTAGAGAAAGAAGATATTCTTATGGAAGCCAGGCAGCCAACGAGGAGGTTAAAGCAGAGTCATCTGGTGGTGGCATAGAGAAGTGGAGAGTGAACAGTGTGATGGGGTCTGTTCTCAAAGTAATGCAGTTTTAGGAAGGGACTCACCAATAATTAAGTTGGCCTTCAGGTCAAATTGTCCTCAGAAGGCCATGCTGCTGGTGTGGAGGAGGAGCAGAACAGTATAGTGGTATAGGTGGGGGAAAAGCTTCCTAACACTTAGAGGTGCCTAAAAGTGGAATAGACTGTTTTGAGAAGGATGATGCCCCTTTGTTGGAGGTTTTCAAGCAGATAATCACTTGCCAAGTATGTTATAGCAGGGATTCCTTTTAGCCATGATTTGGATAGATGAACACTGGAGGCTCTTGCAACTCTCAGATTCTATAATACCTGCTAAAAGAGTGTTAACACCATTTAAATTGGGGGACCCTGGACAATGTTCCAGTTCCTGACCCTAGTTGTAGCTTTACTTGAGCTTATGTCTAATAGTGAGATGCTCTTCAGCCTCCTCACCTGTAACCACCAATTAACCCTATCAGAGGTTTATATCAATGGAAGATAGCTCATGCACTAAGAGCTATCCTTCAGATCTTGCCCAAGGAGACCAGCCATAGTCAACAATTCACTTCTCTGCAGATTAGATGTTCTCATCTGCCCAGAAAAAGACTTTTATCTTTAGGGAGTCATAGCAATGATGATGTATGGAGAGCTCAAAACTGAAAGATGTATATCTGGGATTGGAGGGTGGTGGAGAAGAAAAGTAAGCAAATTAAATTTTAATTAAAAGTCTTCCTTGCCACTTAATTTCTTTCAGGTCCCAGAAGCCAATGTTAAAATGCTTGGGAGTATAATGAATGTCTATTTAGTTTCTAAATATGTGTAATTTAATGTCATTAATAGACAGTGCTGGGTTTGCACACCATCTGACACAAATGGAAGGCGCCCAACATATTTGGCGAACTTTATGGAAGGACAGGGATGAGTCTTATAGGATGGACAGGCGTGGATGACTTTGGGCCTACATTGTTGCCCAGATATCCTCACAATGAGATTACAGATCCACTAGAGTTTTAAAGACTATAACATGGTCATTGAATAGGTATTTTGGTGACCAAAATATACAATAAAATATTCTTAACAGTAAAACAATACTGAATATTATTTAATTTTTCTTTGATGATTGGGGTGTTTACAGTGCTGTAGGCATCAAGAATATTGGTTCTCATTGTTCTTAAAAGCAAGAAAGTACCAGTAGAGATTTCTGCTAGATAGAATTTTACATAAACCAACCCTTACTGTACAGAGTCCTGTTTAGGAAAACAGACTTCAGTTAATGTTACTTCTATCACCACTTGGTTGTGTGAATTCAAACAAGCTCCCTCTATATAGGAGATACAGATGACTCACATTTCTCTAGTGCATAACACATAGTAGGAACTATATACAATAAATTCTTGTTTTCATTATTGGCTTAAAAATAGGGATGAATACTCAAAGTCTGAGGGTGTGATAAGTGTTAAGATTTATTATAAGGAGAAGATAGGCTATAAGGATAAAATATATGTTATAAGGATAAGATAGATGTTAATGTAACATCTTATCAGATATGTTGAGATATAACATCTTATCCTATTAAGGATAAGGTAAAACTGAAAATAAAAGTCAAGGACAACAAAAGGTGCTTTTTTTTTTTGGTAAGGCAGTTGGGGTTATGTGACTTGCCCGTAGTCACCCAGCTAGTGGTTTGAGACCAGATTTGAACTCAAGTCCTCCTGACTTCAGGGCCAGTGCTCTGTCCACTGTACTACATAGCTGCCCCAAAAAGGTGCTTTAAAAAGCTACAATATACTAGCTTCGTGACCCTGGGCAAGTCACTTAACTCTGATTGCCCCCCCCCCAAAAAGCTATAATAGGAGAAAAAAAGGATCAAAGAAAGTTTAGAACCTTTGATCCCAGGTGAATGGAATGATAACTGACAACCAAGAGAAGGCAGAGCTACTCAATTCTATTTTGTTTCTGTTTTCTTTGCAAAGAATAACATGTTTAACATTTTGATCAATGACCGATAAAGTCATCAAATTTGAAGATGACATAGATGACCTTTGTATTAGAAATAACAAAACAAAGATGACTTTCAGGGACTTGATAAAGAAGATTAGTAAGGATGGTAAAGATAAGTAGGAGGGCAATTAATTGCCCTTGATGAATTCAAGTCATCTGGCCCAGATGCACTACATCCTTGGATACAGAAAGAACTGGCAGGTATGATGGCTGAACTCCTTTCAGTAATATTTGAAAAGCCTAGGAAAACTGGAGAGGTGCCACAAAGAATGGAGACAGAGAAGGAACAGAGTCTATGAACTAATTCAGTGAACTTGACTTTGATTCTTGGGAAAATTATTGAAAGAATGAATAAAGAAATGGTTGTAAAACATCTAGATAGGAAAGCAGTAGTTATGTAGATTACATGGCTTCATCAAGAACAGGTCAGGCTAGAAATCCTTATTTCCAGGATTTCTAAACTAGTAGATGAGGATGTGGGTATAGTTTGTTAGATTTTAGCAAATCTTTTGATAAAGTATCTCTATGTACAGTGGATAGAGCACCAGGGTTGGAACCAGGAAGACGTGTTCAAATCAAACCTCAGACACTTATTAGCTGCGTGATCCTGGGCAAGTCACTTAATCTCTGCCTCGGTTTCCTCAACTGAGGAGAAAATAGGGATAATAATGTCAACTATCTTGCAGGGTTGTTATGAGCTTTAAATGAGATAATAATTATAAAGTGTTTAGCATAAAACTGGCACACAGTAAGTGCTACATAAATGTTATTATTATTAGTAGTAGTGTACTGTTTTGTGGAGAAAATATATATAGAGATGGATTAGATGCTCATACAATCATATGAATTCAGACCTAGTTGGATGGGCTGGACACAAAGAGCAGTTGTTAATGGTTCAATGTTACCATGGCCAGAAGTCTCCAATTGAGCATCCCAGGCACTAGTACTTAGCCCTGTGCTAGTTAATATTTTAATCAATGACTTAGATAAAGGCACAGATAACATGTTTACCAAATTAGTAGATGACACTAAGCTGTGAAAGATAGCTGAATGAGAGGTGTTAAACACTTAGCCCACAGCACTCACTAGCATGGCCAAACCAGAGTAAAATATAATTGGGAAATATTTAACAAGAAATACAAATATAATAAAACATAATAATATTACGTATTTTAAAACTAAGTCCATATGTGCCCACAGGGATCCTTATGTATAGATTAGTGGACTCCATTTCTGTTTGAGTTTTACACTTCCAAGCTGGATCATCTAGTCAAGGTCCAAAAGGATTTTAACAGTCTAGAGCATGGGGCTGAATTTAATAAGATGATATCTAGTTGAGGTAAATGGAAAAAAACAAAAAAACAAAAACATCGTACCAAGTGTAAGATGTAGGAAGCATGGATAATCTGCAGTTTTGCCGAAGACTTGAAGCTCAGTATGAGTCAACTGGGGCATATAGAAGTTAAAAAAACAAAAAAGAGCCAACTTTGAATTCCATTGTGGGCTTCATTAAGAAGGGAATAGTTTCCAAGAATAGGCAACATCATTTGTCCTGTTGTACTCTGAGCTCATCAGGCCTTATCTGTATTGTGTTCAGTTCTGGCTACCATAGTTTATGAAAGACATTGATAAGATGAAGAGTGTTTGAGGAAGGCAACCAAGATGGTCGTCAAGTTGAAGCTAGATGATCACTTGTTGGGTTTGTTATAATGAGGATTTCTTTCATGTGGCTTTGACTAGAGAGATACTCAGGTTCTTTCCAACTCTCAAATTCTGTCACCTATGCATGATCAAATGTTCTCCATATGTATTGAAGACAGAGGCAATATGACATAGGAAGGAGCAATGGATTTGTAA